CCCCTCGGCCCAGCGGCGCTGAGGGGGGGCTCAGCTGCGAGGGGCCGAGCGAGGGGAGACAAGAAGAGCATAAAATATGAGGGGCAATTAATTCCCTCTCCCCACCCCTCGATGGACTGTCCCCTTTGCTTATAAGGGCTTTGTGCCCCCGCCGGCAGCTCAGCCTCGGCCCCTTCCCCTCGGAGGGGGGCTGCCTCTGCGGCCACCCCGCTTCCCCCGTGCGCGCCGGGGTGCGGAGCGGGGCCCCCGCCGCCTCCCTCCGGGCGGGCAGAGCCGCAGCCCGCGGTGCTGCCGCCGGACTTTGAACGAGCCGGGGGGGCTGGTGGAACAGGTTTCCTTTTTGCGCGCCGCCGGGGCATTGCGTCAATCCTGGGAGGAGGATCCTGGAGGTAAATGAACTTTTTTAAACGGGAAAAGGAGAAGAAGGGAGAGGAGGAAGAAGCGCGCGGGGCGGCGGTGGCGGGGAAGGGGCGGGGGGGGGAAGGCAACACCCGCCCGAGCCGCTTCCTCTAAACGCCGTTTCGGGAAACGGGCTCCGGCCGCTGCCCGGCGCCACGGCCGGAGGATGCGCTTCTCCGCCCCGCCGGGCTCCGCCGGCGGGCACTGAGAGCACCGGCCCTGGCGCGGCGCGGCTGAGCGCCAGCTCCGCGGGTGAGTGACTGAGTGAGTGTGCGGCGGCGGCGCTGCCCGCGCTGGAAGAAGCGGGTGTCTGGAGCCCTCCCTCCCGCCCGCCTCCCCGGCTGGGAGCGGCTGGGCGGCGGTGCCCGGGCATCGGGGGCTCTCCCGGAGGCCGAGCCGGGCTGCCGTAGCGGGGAGCCTGGGCGGAGGGTCTGATGCAGCAGGTCTGGCCGCGCTCCTGCTGCATAGGTAACGGGCGGGGCTGGAAGTTGAGTGAGGTGTTAGGAGAAAAGGGGGCTCGGGGCTGGAGAGGCGAGCGGAGGCTGGGAGGAGAGGCGGTGCGGTACGGTCCCGCCGTCGGGATGACTGAGCCCCCGGGGCGCGAGCCCCCCCCCCCCCCCCACGGAGCGCCACCGCCCTTCGGCCCTCCCGGCCTTGAGGCTGCTGCCGGCACGGCGGGGGGGGCGCTCGCTGCCAGCCCGGTGGCCGGTAACCCTGCTGGGGAGCCATCGTGCCGCCCCCCGCGCGGAGGAGGAGAGGGTACGCTCCCGGGGCGGCGGGTGCCGGCGGGGCCGTGTGTGTGACACCCCCTCCCCGGAGGTGTCCCCTGCTCGGGGGGAGGCAGCCGCGCCGGGCTGGGGCTGTGCGGTAAAGAGTTTCCAAAGACAAGCGATGGCATAGCCCTTAGCTCCTCATTGAACAAATTACCCTGCGCATCCGGGTAACGCGTGTGTCTGCCTGTCTATATGTGTCTGCATATGGATATACGCTGCTTGGGTTTCCTTCTCTGCGCGGCTACAAAAAATGCTGTTTACTTGATCGAACGGATCTGTGTAATGGTAACTGTGTGTGCCTACTTTTTCTGTCTTTAATCACTTGCGTTCATTCCCTTCTGCTGTTTGCAGAAGTGAAAGTCTGTGGTTATTACTGTACTTAATACAAGTTAATATAATTATCTTTAAAGTCAAAGACCATGTATCTTTATTATTTATAAATATGTGAAGATAGTAAGTATAATAGGGAAATAATTCTTAATCTCTTTCAAGTTATTATTGGGTTATCATTGCATGTGGTGCAGAAAAGCGTGTTTATTATTGTGGATTTGGGGGATCCAAACAGCAATTTAACCTATCTGAGGACTAATTAATTTTGTGTGTATTGCTGGGGAGCTCTCATAATAACACACAAGCAGTGAACAGAAAGAATAGTATGGATTCCTGGAAAGTATATTGTGCTGTTTAAAATACTTCTTAAAACATCAAGGCCTAGGGAAAACTGTAACTAATTTATAATTCAGTTTTATTTAAAATAAAGTTACAGGATAGGGAAGAGATTCTTTAATGCAAGTAAGCTTCCCCATGATAAATATTTAGCTTTGGTGTAGAGTTCACCAGCATAAGGCAAGCGAGTCAGCAGAACGTGTCTGAATGGTAATTCAGTGCTCTGATAAGTCTGGGAGCTCTGTTCCTGACTTCTGAAGAAATGGTAGATATTTGCAAATAAAAATACTTTAGCCGTAGTTTGTGTAGGTGAATCAGCACAACTGTCATCTTCAAGGGTCACATTTCACACTAGGCGTTTGATTTTGTACTTTCTCTTAAATTTTTGGCTGGCTGGGGACAAAAACCCAGCAAGTATAAAACTATAAGAAAACACAGCATGTTGTTAGATTACAGCGGTAATGTTGATGCCAGCCTTCCCCTGAGAACCTTGTTTGATTGCAAACAAGATTCTTCCCGATACACATATAAAACTGTGTTTATCTCTTAAAAACAAAATATAGTGGTTTCAAATGATGTTTGACAGCTTCAGTGAAAAGGAGTTATTGTAACCAAACCTGGGTGTATAGGAGCGAGTGACTCAAGAGTTAAAAGAACAGCAGCACCGCTGAATCCATTTAACTGGCAAAGTGGTTTTAATTGGGTTGGTTGCTAGGGAATGGCTCCAGCACCATGTATTTCAATGAATTTAAACATTGGACAAATGGCACACCTAAGTCTGCTTAAATAATACACCTGGTACTGGCTCCAGCCGTATTTAGAGCAGGTGTGCATTGTTTCTTGCTGACCAGTTTTCCCTTATTGTGCAGTTCCACTCTGTGGCTTACATACTGTTCCCCTCTTCTGTGGTGGCTGCTGGGCGAGTTCAACTTGCCATACCAATTCTGGATTTAGTGTTTTGCAGTATGCTTATTTAAAAAAAAAATAAAAATCAGTTATGTAAACATAACAAGAAATACCTTTCTAGAAGGGGGCTCAAAACAGGATTACGTTATGTATTTGATACAAGAATTAATTTGGTACATGTTTGTACCTTTTCTGCTATAGGAAGGTCAGATACTACTCTTGATTATATTGGAATGACTTAATTATTTTACTTGAGTGAAGTTGCACTGGGCTTACGTGTGGGACAGTTGTGCTAGGACTTGCACTAGTGAGGTTGGGGGTGAGGGTGTGTGCAAGCCACTGTCAGTTACTAGTTTTGCACACACTGCGTGTTACATCTGTGCTAAGCAATACTAATCAATAGCGTGTTAAAAATACCATCTGGGGTAGAATTGACACTGGTCATCCCTGTGCATCCTGCCTGTGCTGCAGTAGAACTGACGTTAATTACTGAGGGCAGTATTACAAAGTCTTACCTTGGTGTAAATGCTACTTGGGAACAGAACTTGGCTTTGTTCTTTTATAAATAGAATAAATGTACTGAAGTCTGGCTTTAAGTCACATTATAAATGTTGAAGAGATAGTGTAATGTTCTGTGTTGCCACACAGGAGAACTAAGTTTGGCTTTATTCTCATTCCCCATACTAATAGGAGTTAAGAACAAAAAGAGGCAGCTGTATCTAATTGAGGCTATGAAGGCAGTCAGGGGCTTGTTAAACTCAGCTGTAAACCATAGAAAATAGATGACCAAACTTTCTCTAAAGCAGTCTGCGAGGAGGTTTCATAAAGCTCGGCTAGATGCTCCAGCTGAAGAACATTTCATAAATTTCTGATAGCACTTTCCTAAATATAAACCAGGAGTGACCAGACTTGTCAAGTTCATATGTGTAATCTGGGAGAAAATAAAAGGCACACCTAATTCTCATGAGAGCCACTACAGATTAAGCATCTTTAATATTGGAGGATGGCCTGCAGAGGCACATAAAGCAGTGGGCCATCTGTACCACTCAGATCAAAATGCATCGCTGGAGAGGGTGCTATATTAAAAGTGAAGGCAGATTGGGGCACTGCTGTGGAACTATTCTGGCTTTATCTATGAGTTGCAGATTAAACTTGTTGACAGAAATGGGGAAAGAACTGTTAATAGAGACCTTATGTCGTATTTCTTCCCTGAAGTTCACTGAAGACTAGGGGTTAAAAAAAAAAATCAATCTATATTTGACCACTGGCAATCCATGCGAGAGACTCTTCTGTTGCTATTCTGAGAACTATTTAAAGCTGGCTTTTAGATTTTATTGCGTATATGCTGTTAGTTGTGGCATGTCTGTCTTTTATGAATGCATGCTTCAAGAAATGGGTTATTTTCTAAAATTGCTTTAATTTTCTTACCTAGTTATTGGTATGAGTTTTGCACATAATTACATACTTTGAGTTGGTTCCCAGCAGTACTTATCCTGATAATAATAGGAACGTAACACACCAGAATAGTTGAAAAATCTTCATCGAGGAGGGGGTTGAGAAAGAGATAACAGGTTTGGTAGAAGATGCCTGTTGTACTTGACATGAAATTCTCTCCTCCACCTGCAGTATCCTCTCAGACATAACTCGTTCTTTTAACCATAAATATACAAGTATGGATAAAATAACCATGCATTAGCAGTTTATGTACATCCCCAAATGTGTTAACTATTTTATAGGTAGATAAGCAGCTCTCTGAGCTGGGGACAACTTCTATTTTTAGATACAATGGAGTGAGTGAGGGGCAATAAACTGTGAGGAAAAGATGAGGGGAGAGAGACAACCAGGTCATGAGTTTACTTCCATGCATTTGTTTAAAAAAAAGTGAGAAAAAGGCAAGGAAGACTGTCACATGCACAATACTCTACAGTGACTGGAGTTATGAGCAGATATAACAAGAAAGGACAGCCTTCTAAATGCTGCAAGAAAAGTCAGCAAATGCTTTTATTCTGAGATGCTATTGGCTAGTATAGAGCAGAAAAAAACCCAACATTAACTTTTAGACATTCAGGAAAATGTTTGTATGTAACGAAAATGTCTTTGTTGTCAGTTTGGGTTGTTTTTTTCTAAACAGAAGTACATCTGGAGCTATTTCTGAAGAGCAGAAGCCACTTCTGTACTCCCCTCAAAAGGCTGGTGACTAGGAATATGTGCCTGTTAAACTAACTTTTGTTTGTTTTTTTTTCCCTTTTGAAACAGGTCCAGGTTTGCCTCTCAGGCTGCTTTTGACTACTCTGGACAGTAGCAGCATATAGAATCTGACATGATTCTTCCCAGTTGTACTGCTGCAAATGGAATTCTGAGTCCAAGGAATGAAAATTAATAGGACTTGTTGGTGTTCCTTCTGCTATAGCCCGGCAAATCTCTGAGCAGCAGCAGAGGTACTAAAGCTGTTCTGTAATCTTAGGAAGCTGGACTTTTCTCTTTCCCTACCTATTGGAACAAATGTTAGGATATTTAAAATCAATTTTTTGTTTCTATGAAAAAAGTTAATTTCACCTGCCTGTTAAACTCACTGGAGAGACTAGTGAGGAAGAAGGATTTTTCAGTTCCTCAAAACCTTATTAGTATACGTTTTTGGAAAGCAGCCTTAATAAATATTGCATCATACTATAGCTATGTATCTGTTGACTTATATGAAAATTCAATATGCATTTCTTAAATAAGCATAGGAGCTGAGTATAATTTTTCAGACCAGTGGTTTTGCTATTGCATGAGATCTTTCTTAATCAAAGTTTATCTCAAAGAACAGACGCTGACAGGGATGAGGTAATAATGGGGCTATGAAATAATCTGCTGGAGGAAAAACTGTTTTCCCAAGTGGCTTTAGGGACAGAATAGCCAATGTATTTCTTTGGGTAAAACACATTGTGCTAGGTTTTTTCTACTCAGGCATTTCTGGTCTTTACAAAAAGCAGATAGTCTCCCTTGTGTCATTTTTAATTGATTTTTCACTGCATTACAAGAGATCATTGGCACCAGTCCAGGAAAAGGCAGGCAGCAAGTAGAGAATTAATCAAAAACTGACTCATTGATCACTGGATCTGATGAAATAGTTAGTACTTGATATTTTCAATACATTTTCATACTGTTATTTTGACTTCTGAAAGCAAGAGAAAATCCCTTTATTCCAGAAGATCACTGAGCAAAACTATTATTTAAAAATTATTCCAGCACGCTTATTCATTTTTGGGGATTTCCTTGTAGGAATTGCTAAGAAATTTTTAGTGGCTGATTATCAGGAGCAGGACCAGTTAGATGTGCTCTGTTTTGCAAACAAGTTAATTTGGGGGCATTGTATTTATGGTGGAGAGAAGTCATAGGCAGGGCAAATCATTTTGGTGCATCCATTACCGAACTTCTGCAGTAGTGTGCTTTCAAATGTGTTCATTAATAATAATGATATTTTTTAAAAAATAAAATCTTGGAAACCAACAGAAATGCTGAAGGGATATGACGCTAACATCAAAGCTGTAGTAGACTTCAAACGGTATCATACCACAGTTCCAAGATCTGGGCAGCTCTGCTGTCTAATGAAATCTGTAAGATAAATCAATGTATAACAAATCTTCTATCTGAGAATCCTCTATGAATTTGAAAATGTGTTGTTAAGTAAGTAAATTTTACCACAGTCCTGTTTAAAAATATGGATAGATGTGGGGTTTTTTGCTTCAACATCTGCATTTTTCATGCAGTAAACAAAAATGCCATCTCAAAACACCTCAGAACCTTAAGAAAGAAGGTTGCTTTTTATATGCATCAAAGCAAATGTAAGAGTTTGATACCCTGCTAAATCCTTGAACTTGCTGCCAAATTTAAGCATGGAGTGAAACTTCATTGCCTACGTTAGTAACAGCTTATGAACTGTGAATTTTTCACGTTTCTGCTTCTAGCTAGCACTAGAAAAACATTCCGTTGCTTTGTTTTTTTGTTTGTTGGTTGTGTTTTTTTTTCCTTAGGAGTTAGATTATTTCAAGTATATTGCTTTTTACTTCTTTGGAGAGAACCTTGCTGTTCCTTGGCGGGGCAGGGGGGTCAAGGTATAAATAAATACTTGTTTCCCTCTCTCTTACAGGAGACCTGCAAACAAAAAGTGAAGTAGAAGCCATTAACCCACCTTGTTCAGAGAGAACATTATATCAGCACAATATGGCACAGCATAGTATTGTCCTTGGATTATTCATGATGACTGTTTTATCACTGTTGGATGGAAGTTCAGCTTTCCTGTTAAATCAGCGTCTGAAGGGAAGATTTCAAAGGGACCGTAGAAACATCCGCCCAAACATCATCCTTGTTCTTACTGATGATCAGGATGTAGAACTTGGTAAGAGCCCAATATAAAGAGAATTTTAGCTAACGAGTATGGCACTGCTTTTCCTTGAAGCTTGATTCTTGTGTTCAAAATAATTATCTTTTTTTCCAGTGTGGAAAATGATAGGAAGAATAAGTAGCAAAAGTTTAAACCTGCCTTTATGTAGAAAACACTTTCTGTCTGCATGCACTTCAAGGACAGCAGAACTTAATCTCAACTTAAAATATCAAACTTCCTGTTTCTTTGGAAATACAAGATTCCTGCCTATCTGTCTTCATCTACACCCCTAAACTATGCTTCTGGCAATTGCAAGTATAACCTGGGAAGCTATGTGCCAAAGCAGTAGGTTTAAATTCATAACTGATTATTGCACCATGTAATTACCCAAATTTTTTTGTGTAATTGCAGACATTCATTACATGTACAATTTTAATTTTAATTACTTAAATGTTACCTAACATAGTCATGCTATTCTTGGTGTTGTCCGTTTAGATGTGTAGTTAATTACTGACCAAAATCACTTAGTATGAAAAGGTTCTATGGTGTTATTCAACGCTATGTTAATTGTTGAAGAAAGGAGATGAAGATTAAACACACGCTTTGCCTAATGATTTGGAATAATGAATTAACTGACGGAGTTTGGATTTTATTCTGTTACCTGCACAAACTTCTTTTTACCAAATGTTGTCTGTAGTTAGGAGAAGTGATTAACACAAACCAGTTTACATTAATAATTTTGCATTAGAAACATGCTTTAGAGTACAGAGCCTGGATCATCTGAAAGATGAGAGTGTGCATATGTGTGGTCTGGTGGGGTTTTTTGACAGTTACTGCATCAAATTTCTAGAATGGATGGGAAAAATTGGAAAACAGACCTCACAGAAGAAAAAGAACACAATAGTGAAGTTACTGGACTTGTATTACTTATACACTTACTCATCTAGCTGAGAAGTCAATCAGCAATGTGGCTGTTGTTACAAATACTTCCTTTTTATCAGTATTACTGCATGTCTGCGGTACCGTGGATGTCACGTTCTCCTCGGATGTGGTGAGAAAGCCTGCTATGGCAGTAACCCCACTTAATATGAATGTGTTTCAACTTAGTAGGATCAGAAGAGTTGTTGGTGTTGTCACTTTTTTTCTTTTTTAAATGGTTATTTGGATCGCAAATAAAGCAGTTTCAATAATGTATATCCAAAAGAACCTAAGTACATTATCTTGCAGGCTCAGAAGGTGGTCCTAAAAAATTTATCATCTTCTATTTTATGCCAGCCTGCTTGTTTCTGATGCAATTGTCTAAGTCCTTTGGGCAGTATATTTCTCCTCTGATAATCTGATGCTTTCCAATTTCAAGCATAATGGGCATGTGTCCACACAAATTAGGATCTAACTAAGGAAAATCCATTTGATGAAGCTGAGATTTGATATTCGTCATTTGCTACTAATGGCTTTGTGAGACCCAATATTTGTTTGAATTAATTTATATTCTTGACTATTGTCTGGTGAGCTGTCCAAGTTAATCAAAATTGCCATTTGTGAGGATTGTGGTTAATGCATTTAAGAAAGATGAAAACAAGATGTGAATTACAAATAAAAGCTAAGGAAAACTTGGAAGCTATGAAAGTGTAGAGAAAGCTGTGCATAACTAAGATTTCATCTGTTTTCTAATAATATTCTTAACTGATGGGTGTTGTAGCTTTGGGTTTTTTGTGGCTTATTTTGAGGCAGAAGGGAAGACAACACCATCTCAAGTGCTCTTAACAACCCTTCCTTTATTTAATTTCCAATAGATTGAACAATGTACCAGTCACAGGTGGAGTTTACCAGAAAGAGAATGTCATCCTTTCAGAAACATGTTTTTTGGGGGTTTTTTGTTGTGTTTTTTTTTTATTTAATTTGCCCTACTGTTAATCATGAGTTTTACTTGGGAAACTAAACCTCACCCTTGTATTGAAAAAAGGAAAAACTGATGAGGGGCTGATGAAAAGGATGCAGAATATCCAGGTCAAAGGAGAACGAGTGTAAATTGTAATGGATACAAATGGGAGAAGACAAATGAGAACACCAAGAACTACTGAACCATACACACTCAGTTGACTGTCTAATCAAAAGAGTTGTACTGACAAGCAGAACATAAAGAAGAGGAATATATTGATGAGGAGAAAGAATTAATTGGAAACAAAGACTTTTTTTTTTTCCCATTAGAGCCTTTTAAGTCCAAGTTAGTATAATGCTGATGTCTCCTGTGTGATGGACTCAGCATCTCCAGTTTAATTAGGTTTTCCTACCATATTGCTGTGGTGAAACAAACCAGCTTATTTCATTATCTCATAGTTGGAGAAAGATCTGATTATTTAGAAGATATTTCAGCCATGTTAGAGAAACCTGAGTGAGAGGTGATTTGTATGTTCCTACATCTTCCTCTAAAAAACTACAGAAGTGGCATAGAAGATAATTTTTCTTAGTTATCATGCATAGAGATTAGGGCCGCAGAGCTTCGTTAAAATTAAATATGAGGGGGAAAAAAAGGAAATGAAGATGTGAAAAGGGTGTCTAATGGGTTTCAAGTAGGATAAAAATAGAAGGCTTTAGGGTACAGTTAATTAACATTCTGGATATGGATACCACTTCTAAAATTGTGCTTCACAGTAGACTAAGTCACTTGGGCCTTAATACAAGTTCTTCAACAGCTGAAGCTCCTAAAACCTCATGTAAATTATGACCCCGACAACAAAACACTTCTAATGAGAAAGTCAGTATTATTTTATAAACAACTAGTATATCTTCACCGTTAGTATTAGTCAAAATACCAGCTTTGTCCCTAAAGTGGACTGTGAAGACACATTAAGCAAAGTTATGGATACTACACAAATTTCAAGTGGATTTTCAGCCTAGGTTTTGCTTCATTTTGTTCAGTGAGCAGCTTGAATGCATCAAATTGATTAAACTTTCTTATTTTCACAGTAGTCCAATGGTTTATTTTTTTTAAATAGCTTAAACTAAATAATTTGTATTTATTATCTGTTGTTTTAGACAAGTAACAGAACATTTTCTGAATTAAATATTGACACTTCAAAGCATGACTATTTTTGTTCCATCCACTAATGAAACCCCAGAAGGTTTTCCAACTCAAAAGGTGATTTGGTGGGGTTCCAGTTGCTGATTAACACACAACCAATCTTCTGCCACAGAAAGATCAGTTTCTACTTTTTCTCACAATTCTGTGTTTGTATTGGAGGCAAGCTGGAGAAAATAAGTTTTGGTTGGCTGGTTTAATGCTGTTTAAAATATTTAAAGCTGGCCTATTTAAGATTGTACAGAAGAGTATGCTGGATTTTTACCTTCCACTGATCTGTCACTCTGTATTAGTTCTCAAGCTGGGGAAGCAGATTAGATCATATGTTTTTGTATTAAAGACTGTTGATATATACGGCCTTGTCATTACAGCGGTTTTATTAAAGGAGGTTACTGTCCCCAAGGGGAGTCTTAACATGTACAGTTATTTATGCACAGATGCCTCTGTCATTTAAAGGGGTTGTTAAATTGTATTTTAATATTGGGATGACAAAAGATTTTTTCGGATTGCCTGTTGATGCTTGGGCTAGCTCATAAGGCAACAGAGAGGAAATGTCCACAGTTTTCAGGCTCACATAATGTATAATTGACTGCTGTAATTGTTAACTGTGGTGTTAGTGCCTTTGAGTGCTAACGCTTATTTCGCAGTTATAGAAACAAAAAGTCTTGATTTCTTCAGAAACTTCTTTTTAATATGTGAACTTTAGCAAGTTCTGAAGGGGCAGTGCCATAACCTGCCCTGGTTCTTGTCACAAAGTGATGGGACAGAGATGTGCTCCGACCTGAGAAACACACAAACATATTTTAAATTTTTTTTTAATACTCCATAAGGCAACAGAGAGGAAATGTCCACAGTTTTCAGGCTCACATAATGTATAATTGACTGCTGTAATTGTTAACTGTGGTGTTAGTGCCTTTGAGTGCTAACGCTTATTTCGCAGTTATAGAAACAAAAAGTCTTGATTTCTTCAGAAACTTCTTTTTAATATGTGAACTTTAGCAAGTTCTGAAGGGGCAGTGCCATAACCTGCCCTGGTTCTTGTCACAAAGTGATGGGACAGAGATGTGCTCTGACCTGAGAAACACACAAACATATTTTAATTTTTTTTTTAATACTCACTCCAACAAAATGATCTTAAGAGAACTAATACCGTGGCAATTTTTAGGTAAAATGACCTGCAGTAGCAATTAACCTTGCTTCATGGTGCTAGAGAGTCAGATATTGTATGTGGCTTATGACCATTTTCCCTCTAGGTTTTGACTCCTGGTTATATCACTGTGCCCTGTATCAAACCAACTTATTGTTGCAATTTCATAATGAAATCTCTGCCTAAAGAGCTTAGAAGAAACTTAAACCCATTATTGACAGAAACAACTTACAGTTTGTGCCAGATGGTTGTAGGGTGCACTGATTAAAGCTGAACTATTAATCCAACTCAACCTTGGGTGAGTTGGCCCCAGCCCTGCTCCAGCATGAGCACATACCTTCATCTCCATGTTGTCTATTGGCTTTCCCTGCTCATAACAAGAAGGGAGTTGGTGATGGAAAGGTTTGCTCTTGTCTATTGGCTTTCCCTGCTCATAACAAGGAAGAAGGGTTGGTGATGGAAAGGCTTGCTGTCCTTTGCAAGGTCATGCTGATGACAGGTATCATTACAAGTTCTTTGGAAAATGGTAATTCTTCCTGATCAAGTATAACTCACTCTGTTGCAGTTTTAACTGGCACTGATGGATAAGGGAAATTAAATGTCTTTTTTCTTCTGATCATTGGTGTTTCTGCACGTAGGAAGAATTGTGATACGGATCCAGATTTAGCTAGATGGATGTCTATGGTAAAGATCCAGTCCATGTCCAAAGTCTTCTCTTAAATATGAAACAGCACAACCATTTGGCAGCAGGGTGGCTTTTAATAATTGTCGGCAAGACTTTAATTCCCATTACCTTAATTTGTCCAAGTCCCTGCCAGTTAAACTTTTGTGCTTGTTTTCAGATGATGGTTATAAACTACATGGTATTATATGGCCCAAGTAGTCATCTAAAAATCTGATTCTGCAGAACCCAGTCTTAAGAAAATTTAGAGAGTCATCAAAATGAATTAAGTGGTTGGATGGATAGGTAGATAGACAGATAGATAGGTAGAACTCAGTGGTTAGCTATGGAAATTATTATGAAGGTTTTACTTTGTCTTTGGTTCAGTGAAAGTTACAGAAATCAACACCTGCTAATACCTCATATTATATATGAGGTATACATATACCTCAAAGAACTTTTTCTGTAAAGAACAACTTCAGCAGACCTTGCTTGAGTAGAGGGTTGGACTAAATAATCTCCAGGCATCCTTTCAACCTCAGTGGTGTTGTGATTCTGTGGTTATGAGCCTCAGCCTTTTGCCAGGTTGGCACAAAAGGCAGTGCATCAGGTAACTTCTGAAACCAAGGATTAAATAATGCTCAAGGAGTATGCAAACTTTGGTCAGGGCTGCTGTACAAAGTGACTTTCACCCTCAGACCACATTGTCTCAGCCTACTTCATGCTGTTTTTTGCCTTCAGCTATTGAACAGTACTGGTGGCTCCAAAACAGCTGCACAGATAGTGCAGATAGTTACAATGGTAAATCTTGAGCTTAGAGAGTGAAAAATTAAAAAAACACTATGTTCTATGTCATCAGTTTTGAGTCAAATCTTAACTTAAAACTTCAGTCTTTGGTCTTTCTTAATGGGAGGACTTTGCTAGAGGGGAGAGAATAATTTCTTTGGATGTTGATTCACTATGAGTTTGCAGTGTCCTTACCACCTGTGCTTCATTCTGGTCTCTGATGTAACACAGGAGCTCTTAGTTAGCTCTTGTGACTGAAACACCAAAATAATTCTGACACGGCTTTATTCTTCCAGGTTCTATGCAAGTGATGAATAAAACAAGGCGGATCATGGAACACGGAGGTGCTCATTTCATCAATGCCTTTGTGACAACACCTATGTGCTGCCCGTCTCGCTCCTCTATTCTCACGGGGAAGTACGTCCACAACCACAACACTTACACCAACAACGAGAACTGTTCTTCTCCCTCCTGGCAGGCGCAGCACGAAATACGTACATTTGCGGTGTACCTCAACAACACAGGGTATAGGACAGGTAAGATCAAGGCTGGCTCCATCTGAAAGCTTCCTTAGGCTTACTAATACAGAGGAGAATGTATGAAGCAGTGCAGAATGTCAGAGCTTCAGTTGTGCATGTAGGTTTAGCTTCCTTGTACTTTTCCTTGAGGAAATTTAAAACCAAAAAAATACAAAGATTTTTTACAAAAGCTGGGAAGGATACAATAATGTGCACACTTCAGCCAAAGGTATAGCACATGTAGAACGTGCCCTGCAATTACCTGAAGTGCATAGAACAGACAAGAAAGATGCTATGGAAAGGAATTAGTAATTTGAATTTTTCATAAAATGGATATATCAAAAGAAAACACGAGAAGGGACTGCTCCCTTTGGGGCAGAGATGTCAGCTGGATCGGTTTCTCCAGACAGTCCATTCCCAGAAAGATTTTTAGGATAAATAACAACTGAGGAATAACTGGCAAGATCAAATGTATTCCTGAGAAGCTTTGCATGTACTCTTTGCATGCAGTGCTTCTTAGGAACAAAGATTCATTAGAAAGGATTTCAGGAAGTATGTAGCACATTTCACACCTGCTTCCTTCTTGCATTCTCCAGACATGAGATTTCGGTCCTTGCCTGTTACAGTGGTTTTGTCACGTTTCTTGCTGATGCTTTTTGTCATGATGAGAAACAGGCATAAACCTGGTTCTATTTGTGTTATTTATAGTATATATACTATGGGATTGTGGTTTAGTTGTTACTGATAGTATACATTTGTGCTTTGAATTTTTAGTATTTGAGGTTTCCAAGAAGTAGTGTAAATCTTGAATAATAATTGTAGCTAAATCATTATTTTCCTTCTAACTATTCACGTGAGTTTTACGTGTTGTTGCTGCAAAGTCTACGTCTTAAATAGGTAATTTCCTTGTTTTGTTTTTTTTCTAAAATAAAGACCTGAATTAATCTGGAAAGAAATAAATCGGGGGAAGTGCACATACCTTATTAATTGGTTGTTGTTTCCCTCCATTTATCATTCCTGGCACTAATACCACCCCAAGGTTAATGTTTTATTCTTAGATTCGTAGATTATCTGTTTTGTGTTTACTGATGTATGTCTGTTGTAATAATTTTTATATTTAGTGACTAAACTTTACAGCACCTGCAATTTCTATGAACTTGCACAGCTATTGCAAGTGTCCTCGTATTCATATGTCTTATATTTTTACATTAAGTTAATGTTTAAATTCAGACCGAGGAACTTAGTGAATCTATATCACATTTTCAGTCTACCTCTCAATTTGCAAACTAAATTTATTGGAACCCACGGAAATAGTACTTTTATAAGTACAAAGCAATCTTCAGGTGTAAATGAGATCCGCATTCATATAGTTAAATGTGATACATTATTATACAAATTTAAATGGAAATTTCCATTATTGAAGGCTGGTGTTCATTTCTGATCTCTAGTTAAAGTCTTATTATCCACTATCAAGGATAAGAGGGTATTGGAGTAAGAAGTATTTTTTTACCTTCCTCTTCCACTCCCCCGCAAAGATCTGATCAGATTTACCTACTTCAGAGAGAGCAGGAAATTGTACTTTAGAACTCAGTTTCTCAAGTTTCAAAAGTGACCTGCTAAGGAGACCGTTTTGGACATTATATTTCTCCTAAACTGGGAATCCTCCCTGAACATGATTGCGGTGAATAAAGGAAGAGCTGGAAAGCACTACTGTTCATTTGTAGGCGGTTTTTTAAATTATTTATTTTTAGGTCCATGGTAGAACTGGTTTGCCCTGCAATCACAGTTTAGCTTCTTGATCCCCTTTTTTTTGAAGAAGAAGAAGGGTAATAAAAAGAAGCCATGAGGAAAATGCCTTTTGGAATTTGCTTTTATATTTAAGTTCACAACCTTGGAGAGAGAAAGGGGCACATTTTGGAAGGGAGTTTGGTTTTTTCTGAATTCATAAGCCAGATCTTCTCCCTGATTTTTTCTCTTTTTTCTCTTTTGTTTAAACTTGAAGGAAGAAATTGTACTCTCCTACTCCACTTAACCTTCCTTCTGCTTTTCTTTTCTGCCAGTTGTTTCACATCTCCTTCCCCGCTTCTCTATTCATTGTGATCTTCCTGTATTTTGTTCTGTTACAAAAGATGCTTCTGCTGGGGGCTGTTCTTTCTGCACCTGTGGTGGTGGCATTTGTGGTTTGGATCTATACAGACTTGTGCTGCTGCTGGCACCTGTGGGCAATGTGCTGGTGGCGTGGGGGCAGGAGGGAGCAGTGTGGTGCAGGCTTCTCCTGCACAAGTTGCAAGTAAAGAATATGAGAGGAGGTGGAAAAGGTGTGACTCTCCTATAATTGTTTCTCACTTTAAGCCATGGTTGTCAGTTTTATATTTTTCTTTCTGTGTGGCACTTTAATAAGCTTGACCAACTTTGAGAGGCACCAGAGTTGGCAGAATAGAGATGGAGGAAGAGGCTGAGCTGGGAAGTTCTGTCTTTGGCTTTAACAGTTGGGACTTTGACCATCGTGCATCACTGTCACTTTATGTGAATCAATTAAAATAAATATCATGACAATGCAAAGGATGGGGTTTCCTTCCACATGGGAAGCCACTGAGGCAGTAGGTGTTACAGGTGTGTCTTCCTCTGCATTGACCTGTCTCACAATCTGCGCACAGCCAGTGTGATGAATAGCGACTGAAAGGCCCTGTTCTCCTTACGCAGCCACTACACCCAGACAAGTTCCCCATCTCAGTGTATTAAGTAATCGGTCCAATTTTGAAGAGCTTCTGGCATCATTGTCCTATTACAGATTGTGGGAAATTGGGCAAGAAGGACAATTTATGTAAACAAACCAAGTCCATTGATGGATTAATCTTTAGAAAAGTTAGCGTAAGAGACATCTGACTTCAAAACAGTGGACACTAGTGCTTTCAACTTGGAGCAGGAGATAATTATAATGGAAAAGAAACAAAGAGATCTTGTGACACACATTTCTGAATGTCGGAGAATTTCTCTGCCAAAGGTTCCTGTGTAAACATTTACAGAGAAAAGGTTCTGTTTTCCGTGAACATACACATCTCTTTCTGTGAGACAGCTTTTAAAATGCACAATGCATTGTTGCATGCTCGGGTCCTGCAGCAACAAATACCAAGAAGTTTTGTTGGAATACAGATTTAAACTTTCCCTTAGACATTACTTAATGAGAAAAGCTTCTCTCTTCCATTTGCCTGGCTGGCTGAATGATTAGGTCTTAAAATTGGTGAGTGATTCCAGAATATTTTGTCAGCCTTATCTGCAGTCAGGAAATGAAAAGACATGTTTATCTTATTAAATTCAACAGAATTAGGGATGGTGGGCCAAATTCAGCCTGGCAGAAGGATACTTTTGCTTCAGTGAATCTTCTGAGAGAGTTCTGTTAATTTATGTTAGGGCTTAATGTGGCTCAGTATGTAGCAAAGACGGTACACGTTTTGCCTAACTTACTGTCCTTGCTCCTGTGGAACAGTACCCTATGGTACAGCTAACCCTATTCAGTTAAATGAGTCTATTAACAAAGGAAAAAGCTGCCACTGGTATGTCAGTATCTCACTCTGATGATAAGTCCATACTTGAATTATGCAAGGAATTAATAAATGCCATTTTGCACCAGTCGTGTATTTTGAACCTAGAGAAAAGTCATTGTGGGAGGTCCATCTCTGCCATTATAAAAAATTTCTTGGGAATAAAAGTAATAATCATTCTTAGCACTTTCACGGGGCTTTACAATAATTAACTAATGAATTCATTAAAATTCAGTGCCAATCTTCCATTTCCTCCCATTAATATTAGACTGCGAAGGTACAGTGGCTGACTGCATTCAAATAATTATTTTTCCACTTCACTGTCTGAGCCTTTGACATTTTAAAGTGATTTTAACATTAAATTGTAAGAAAGAGGGGAAAGGCTATTGGTAAATGTTTGTTAAAAGAGGAATGAACTGGAAAAATATGTGACCAGATTTTAATATCTGCATGCATGACAAGAGAAAAGTTCTCAGATTATTAGTTTCCTGCTGTAGAATTTGCTGTCCACAGTAGTTGCTGGTTGCTATTTTTTATTACAGAAATACTTAAAAACTTGACTGAAGTCGATCTCTGTGTTTAATTGCTTGGTAGGGAATCATAATAAACCTGAAGAGTCAAAGGGGAGACAGAACAGTGAAATACTTTCTACGAGGTCCCATGCAGGTGAGGAGGACCATTAAGAAGAGATGCAAGTTTTGATTCATGCTCGGGTGCCCAGGCCACTGCGCCCCACTGCACTTCTCTGTCAGGTTATGTGCCTGTAAAAAACCAGATTATCCAAGTCAGAGGAACATCCTATATGCAGGACAGATAGCTCTTGCAGGTGATGAAGAACTGAAGGCCATTTTTAAAAATAATAACCAAGTGATTTGAGTCAGACTTAATTTTCAGAAGTGATTTGCACAATTAGGAACTGAAGTGTTATGATATTCACCTCCAAGACACCTAGGTGAATTTTCGGAACTGGGTATCAGGTTTCTGAATTATTTATCTTGACAGTAAATTGGCTGTCTATATAGAAATGTTATCTTAGCAAGGTCTGTCAAATTATATATTAGGTGGTCTGAGACCATAGACTTGAAAATGGCGTGAAATAAAGATTCAGCATAGTGGCTATATCGTAACGGCTGTTACTGCAAAAGGATGCCAAGGATCTATGCTGGAAAGTGTGTAAGAGAAGTCCTGATGTATAGCCCAGATCCACTGACTCCTTCTGGCAGGCTTGGTCCATGGCAGTGAATTACTGAGCTGGAATATCCTGCAAATACTCTGGAGAATGAAGTTTTCAGACAAAAGACAGTTCTGGATTTCCTTCCTCATGTGTGTTAAAGACTTTTTTGTTCCTTTCTTAGCTCTAACTTCACGTCTATACTATAAATTGGTTTCAGATCAAACATGTATGTATCTTTTCCCTCTGTTTCTATGAATTGAGTTCTAAGCACCAGTAATTCATTTTAAACATATTATAATGTA